GCCTTGAGCAACTTGCTCTGGTGGGAGGTGTCCCTGCCCAGGGCAGGGGTTGGGGCTGGATGATCTCTAAGCTCCATTCCAGCCCCTAAAATTCTCTATCACCTGGTGCCTTGGTGGCTCCTGCTCCAGGGCAGGGGGGAGGTGCCTGGTCAGTTTTGTACCCAGTACATGTGTTTATTCCCAGGTCTATGAAGCACTCCCCAGCTTCAACTACCCTGGCAGCATTCGGGACCCACCACACTGTCAACGTCACGGGAGGTATCTGCTCCCTTTCTATGTTTGGTGGAATGCTGAGATGGAGACCTACCAGTTGTTTCAGGTGAAAGTCCCTGCCCACCTGTGCCTTTTCCTTCCCTGCCAAGCCCAGGCTCCTTCTCCACTTGTCTTCTTCAGCCCTCTGACCAGAGCTGAATGGGGCTTATTCCTCCTGCTGAGTATGGCACGTGAACAACCTCTTGCTTTCCATAGGATGCAGCACTGAAGCTTTTCACCAATGCCAAGATCAGCAAGGACTGCCCAGACAGATCCTACCCCATTGCCTTGCCAGGACCCGTTATGAGAGGTCAGCACAGCCCTTGACTTGCTCCTCTGAGCCCTCTCAGGAGAAGAGAGCAAAGAACTGGTGGCCAGTCCTGGCTCTGCTGTCCTCCGGTGGACTTAGAGCCATCCTGAACATACAGTTTGTATCAAATGGATTGAAGAGGCTTGAGAGGGATTTTGGCCACCTTCTCACTGGCTGCAGACAAGGTCCAGCTGAGATGTAGAGCCCTGTGGTCCCTAACTTCTGCTCTGTCATTTCCAGATCACGTAGTTTTGTTCAGTTCGAGGAATAATGTCCCAATCGCTGCAAGTGAGAACACACTAGACTTTGTAGATACCAAGGACCAGGATGATACACCTCGGGTGTATTTCCCAGAGACCTGGCTGTGGGACCTGGTCCCTGTGGGGTGAGTTAGGACAGTTCCCAAGGGGAACTGCATGGAGGGAAGTTGGGGACATCAGGAGGACTATGTCATGGGGACATCAGCAGTGTGTGACCTGGGTGGGTTGTTTCCATGGTGTTCTCCATCACACAGGGAGAGTGCCAGCCCCGCTGGGGATGACCCCAGCAGTGTGACCCAGATGGGATGTTCTCATGATGTTCTCCATCCCACAGGGAGGGAGGCTCCGCTGAGATGGCAGTGACAGTGCCTGATGCCATCACTGAGTGGAAAGCTGGGATGTTCTGCATGGCCCCTCAGGGCTTGGGGCTGTCTCCTGCAATCACCCTCACAGCATTCAAGCCCTTCTTCGTGGAGCTGGCACTGCCCTACGCTGTGGTCAGGCACGAAGCCTTCACCCTCGTGGCCACCGTCTTCAACTACCTACAGCAGTGCCTGAGGGTGAGCAGGGCTGGGGAGGGTGAGTGGGGAGGGGAGGGGACCCTGGGTCTGGGATCTGCTGGGGGCTGATGGAGCTGTGGCCATACTGGGGCAGGTTCAGGTGACGCTGGCAGAGTCGGCGGAGCTGGAGGTGTCGGCGAGGGCGGAGGAGGACTATGGTGGCTGTGTCTGTGCAGATGAAGCAAGGACCTTCCGCTGGGACGTGCAGGCCACCAGGCTGGGTACACAGCACCAGGGCCTGGAGGGACACTCCTCTTGCCCTGGGGACCTCCTCGAGGGATGGGGTGGGCAGGGAGGACAGGAGAAATGCAACAGCATCTTGGAAGCTCCTCCGCTCCATTTTCACCCTCCCCATTGCTTCCCGTACTGCTCCTCAGTGTAGTGACTCCATCCTGATGCAACCAGCCCTACACAAAGCCCTAGGGGCTGGGGTCAGGGCTGGGGTCTCCATGGGAGCTGAGTGTCCTGCTTGCATCCCCAGGGAAGGTGAACATCACTGTCAGCACCAAGGCCATCAGCTCCAAGGAGCTCTGCGGCAATGAGCTGCCCGTGGTGCCACCCCAGGGGCACGTGGACACCGTGATAAAGCCCTTGCTGGTGCAGGTCAGATGGGTTATGGAGGAGGAAAGTGGGATGGGATTGGGGGCAGGGTCCAAACAGCCCTTGGGGGGCAGTGGGAAAGTACCCAGCCCTGAGCTGGCTGCAGGGGTGACCCTGGGGGACATGGCTGGTCCCTTCTCCTAACTCTGTTTCTTCTTCCTCACAGCCTGGGGGAATCCTGGTGGAGAAGGCACACAGCTCCCTGTTCTGCCAGGAAGGTAGGAGCAGCCAGGGATGCCTGGCTACTGGTCACAAGGGCCATCAGGCCACAGGAACCAAGGACCAGGGTCCTTGGGAACTCCTGGCTGAGATGCTGCAACCCAGCCTTGTGCCTCCATGCCCACTCTTGGCCACTCTCATGGCCCTCCATCCCCACTCTTGTGTCCTTCCTGGGCATCTCCACTCTCATGGCCCTCCATCCCCACTCTTGTGTCCTTCCTGGGCATCTCCACTCTCATGGCCCTCCATCCCCACTCTTGTGTCCTTCCTGGGCATCTCCACTCTCATGGCCCTCCATCCCCACTCTTGTGTCCTTCCTGGGCATCTCCACTCTCATGGCCCTCCATCCCCACTCTTGTGGCCCTCCATCCCCACAGGTGCTGAAAAAATCTCCCTAGAAGTTCCTGCAAACACCCTGGAGGGCTCCCAGCGAGCTCATGTTGCTGTGATGGGTAAGGGACAGGCAGTGGGGGCTTGGGGACCACCATGGGCAGTGGGAGGTGCAGAGCTCCAGGGCCCAAGCTCAGCAGGAGGTGGCACCACCCAGAGCTGAGATGGAAGGGGACATGGGATGGCAGTAGGGCACGGCTGATGACAGTGCTCCCCATGTCCCCCTGGGACAGGTGACATCATGGGCAATGCCCTGCAGAACCTGGGCAGCCTCCTGGCCATGCCCTATGGCTGTGGGGAGCAGAACATGGTTCTCTTCGCCCCCAACATCTACATCCTGCAGTATCTGGAGAAGAGTGGGCAGCTGCTCCCTGACATCCGTGGCAAGGCACAGAGCTTCCTGCAGAGCGGTGAGAGGTCCCATCCCCTCCTCTCCCCTCCCACCCCACCTTGCTGCTGAGGGACACCACCATCCCACATCCCTCTTCCCATTTCCACCCAGGCTCTAGGAGCCCCTGGAGATGGGAAAACCACTGTGCAAAGGCTCATCTCCATCTCCTCCCCACAGGGTACCAGCGAGAGCTGCTCTACAAACATGATGATGGCTCTTACAGTGCCTTTGGGAAGAGTGATTCCACAGGGAATACCTGGTGAGGGACCCCATGGAGACCATGCCAAGACTCCTCCTGCCACCTAGGGAACCCCAGCCCTGATCTCCCATCCCTCTGATGTCTCTGTGGTTTGTAGGCTGACAGCATTTGTCCTCAAGTCCTTTGGGCAAGCCAGAGCCTACGTGCCCATCGAGGAGAGGCACATCACCGACGCTCTGAGCTGGCTGCAGAAGCAGCAGAAGCCAACGGGTTGTTTCAACAGCGTGGGCAAACTCTTCAACAATGCCATGAAGGTGGCTTGCTGGGCTGGGGTGGGACATGGGGACACACTGCCAGAGCTGGGGCAGCTCCAGAGTGTCCCTGGAGTGTGGTGTGGGCAGTGGGAGAGTCCCTGTGCTGATGGCATGGTTGGACCCGTGTCCTGCTGTCTCCTCTGCAGGGTGGTGTCTCGGATGAGATCACACTCTCAGCTTATGTGACAGTAGCATTGCTGGAGGTGGGAACACTGGACCCAACGGTGAGGATCATCCCATCATCCCTGGAGGGGCTGCTGGGATAGGGATGGGTGCTGGGACAGGGGGAATGGCTGTTCCAGGCCCCCTCCTTGCCCAGCTTGGGCACAACAGGTCTCCCTGGGCAGGATGGGGGTCTCTGTGTGATTCCCATGCCCATGGCCTTTCTCCTGACTTGCTCACGTGCCAGGACCCAATGGTGAGCTCAGCCATGCAGTGCCTGGAGGCTTCAAGCACAGACAACCCCTACACAGAGGCCCTGCTTGCCTATGCCTTTGGGCTGGCAGGGGACAGGGAGCAGCAGCAAGCAAAGCTGCAGAGCCTGGCCCAGCACAGCATCAGCACAGGTACCACCTGGCATGGGCCGTGGTGCCACCTGGGTCACCTCATCCCACCTCAGAGCACAGGCTGAGCTCCCACCCCTTCTCTCCCAGAGGGGCAGCTGTACTGGCAGAGGAAGGGGCAGGCTGTGCCCTCCTCGGAGTCCTTATGGGCTGCAGCATCGTCGGCAGAGGTGGAGACAACAGCCTATGTCCTCCTGGCCTACCTGTCCCAGCCCCAGGTGTCCTCTGCTGACCTGGCCACCGCAGCCCGGATCATCCGCTGGCTCAGCAAGCAGCAGAACCCGTACGGAGGCTTTGCCTCCACACAGGTACCAGCACTGGTGTCCGTGGGGCTGCTCCAACACTTCTCCTCCTGGGGTTGGCACTTAGGAGCGACCCTAAGTGCTGTCTCCATGGTGCTGTGACCCCAGCAGAGCTGGGAGCCAGCACTGGATCCAGAGGGACTGTGCTGGGAGCCAGCACTGGATCCAGAGGGACAGTGTCTGGATCCAGAGGGACTGTGCTGGATC